TCTTTCTTTCTTTCTTTCTTTCTTTCTTTCTTTCTTTCTTTCTTTCTTTCTTTCTTTCTTTCTTTCTTTCTTTCTTCCTTCCTTCCTTCCTTCCTTCCTTCCTTCCCTTCCCTCCTTTCTTACTTTCCTTTTTTTCTTTCCCTTCCTTCCTTCCTTTCCTCTCCTTTCTTTCCTTCTGCTCCCTCCCTCCCTTGTTCCTTCCCTTCTCTTCCCCCTTCCTTCCTTTCCCTCCTTCTGATCCATCCATCCCTCCCTCCCTCCCTCCCTCCCTTCCTTCCCTTCCCTTCCCTTCCCTCCTTCCTTACTTTCCTTTTTTTCTTTCCCTTCTTCCTTCCTTTCCTCTTCCTTCTTTCCTTCTTCTCCCTCCCTTGTTCCTTCCCTTCTCTTCCCCCCTTCCTTCCTCTCCCTCCTTTCCTCCTTATCCATCCTTCCTTCCTTCCTTCCTTCCTTCCTTCCTTCCTTCCTTCCTTCCTTCCTTCCTTCCTTTTCCTTCCTTCTCCTTCTCTTCCTTCTCCTTCCTTCATCCCTTCCCCTCCCTTTTCTCCCTCCCTCCCTTTTCTTTCCTTCTCCCCTTCCTCCCCCCCCTCCCCAGTGCCATCCCTTTCCAATTGGAAAGCTCAGGACCTGCTCTGGAGGCTTGTAAGCTCTTCGGAAAGCCTCTTTTTTGGCTACAGCATGGGGTTAAAAAAGGTACGCACATATGAAAAAGGAAACCCGCCTGCCCCGAGCCCCACAAGATCCCCTCTGCCAGCTCACGATTTACAGCGTCAGTGGGAACAAATGCTGACAGAGAACCCACGGTCCTCAGTCCTAACGTGGCTTCCTGGTTGAAACGGGCCCCCTGCCTTCTGTGAATGCATCCAAAGCAGCCTCCCTCCCCACCGTGGTCGAATGTCGAGGACTTTCTCTACCCAGATTGAAACAGATTTAAAGCGAATCTGATTCCCCGCGGACTTGGCTTGTTAGAAGGGGGACCTCATTGCTCGTGGGACACACACTGCGACGGTCATAAAGACGAGTCCATTTTCGAGCGCCTGAATTTTGTGAAGTCTTGATTCCACCGCAATATATTTGGGGTTGACCTGAACCTGAGAGGTGGAGAGAAGGCGAAAAAGCAAACCAACCTCTTGGATACAGAACCGAGAAGAAGGGAAAAGTTCCCATGCCAACCAACCAACCAATATGAGTGAATTGCGGAGCGTCTGAATTTTGTGACCACAGGGATGCCGCAACAGTTGTAAAAGTGTGGGACAGCAGCCTTACATCACTTCTTGCAGTGCCGTTGTAACTTTGAACGGTCACTCAGCCCAGGGTTGTAAGTCCAGGACTATTTGTATCTGCATTTACACCCTGGCTTACATTTTGGATCCTTCTTCCCCCACGATGCCCAGACTGGTGAATGAGCGGTTAGGAAAAGCACCAGGGCCGGACAAGATAACTCCTTCTTGCTTAAAAGTCTGTGCTGGCCCCCATCTTCACCCGGATCTTCAATAGATCCCTAGAGATGTTGTGCTATGTTCCTTCCTGCTTCAAACGTTCTACCATCATCCCAGTGCCAAAGAAGGCCTCCCTCAAGGGACTGAATGACGACAGACCAGTTGCTCTAACATCTGTAGTTAGTTATGAAAATCTTTGAATGGCTTGTGCTGTCCCACCTGAAAACCATCACGGATCCGCTGTTAGATCCCGTGCAGTTTGCATACCAAGCAAATAGTTCAATGGATGCTGTTAACCTGGCTCTGCATTACATCCTACAACACCTTGAATCTCCAAATACCTACGCAAGGGTCCTCTTTGGAGCCTTCAGTTCAGCATTCAATACCATCATTCCAGGCACTCTTCTAAGTAAATTAAACCTACTAGCGGTACCTGAACACACTTGTAAGTGGATCATAAGCTTCCTAACAGACAGGAAGCAGCAGGTGAAGCTAGGCGGAATCACATCCGATACCTGTACTATCAGCACAGGGGCCCCTCATGGCTGTGTGCTTTCTCCACTTCTCCCGATATACCAATGACTGCATCTCAAACGATGCATCTGTTAAAATACTGAAGTTTGCTGATGACACAACAGTGACTGGTCTCATTCAACACAACAACGAATCCGCAGACAGACAGGAGGTTATACAACTTGCCTCGTGGTGTAACCGGAGCAATCTGGAACTGAACACAACTCAAAACCGTAAAAATGGTGGTAGACTTTAGAAGAAACCCTCCCATACGACCACCTCTTACAATACTAGACAACACAGTATCAACAATAGAGGCCTTCCAATTTCTAGCTTCTACCGTATTCCATTGTGGAAAAAAATGAACAAACAAACCGAGATTCAGAACAAACGTATTTATAAAAAGTATTGAAGTGACACATTTCATTTAACATAGTCTCAAAAAAGAAAAAAAAAAAAGAGAGAGAGAGAGAGAGAGAAGAAGAAGCTGAGGAATGATTTCCATTTCTGTGTAGGCTCCAGGTGTGATGAAGCCACTCCCTCCTAGCGAACTTCACCTTGCAAGAGGCTTTTGCAGAAGACGAGAGAGGACAATTAAGCAAGGTGAGGAGAGCTGTTGCCATCCTGGTTGAAATCAAGACCTGCAAAGGAGAAACCAAGAGAGTGAAGTCCAATATCAGATGCAAATCCAGGAAAAGTAGAATTATGTTCAGGTCATGCCAGGTGTGGAGGTGGAAGTGGAGCTCTCGCCTCACAATTCAGAGGCTGTGAGTTCAATCCTACGTAGAGGCAGATATTTCTCTCTCTGGCCACAATGAGAATATATCTGCTGAACAAAACTCCGCATTGGTGACAGGTAGGGCAGCTGGCCATTAAATACTCTGCTAGTGCAATTCCACCCTGCAAGGGATTATGGGGTCATTAAAAAGAGGATGATGAGTTAATGACAGTTCTCATCCAAGAAGCTTCTTTAGCTCTGAGCTGAAGAAGTTACTTGGGTGAGAAGCGAAACGTCTTCCAAGAAAACTCAAGAAAGTCCAGTTGCCGCTTTCGGGAAGCACCTTTGGGATTGCTCCAAGTGCTTTATTTGCCTAGGCACTTGCATATTAATGAAGCTTAGGTGCCTGTCCAAATGACACAGAAGAACATCAGGACAGCCCAGTTGGATTAGGTCAATGCTGCTCCCAATTTAAACAGCTGGAATCTTCAGGCAGATTACTCTTGATGGTGGAGGTTCCATTTTTAGCTCTTTGGATCTAAGAGTGAATAGACTGAAGGTTGGAGTTGAAGGATAAATGGACAAGCAAAAGATAGAGGTCCTACAAACTTGGTTATGACTTGACTCAGTGCCATAGGTCTTCTGAAAAGGTTTTCTATCACTTTCACCAGATGGAGCCCTTCCAGGTGTTTAGACTTGCAATCCCTGCCAGATTTGGCCTACAGGTCAGGGAGAAATGTTGAAGGACATTGTCACACAGATTGAATGGAGGTGATCCAGATTGAGGAAGCTAGTCAGATCCAGAAACCTACTGGATTAGATTACTGAGAAGGGGATGGAGCAGGAAAGGGATCCACCTCGCTCATGAAGGCCATTGTCATTGTCCTGGTGGAGACTGACTCTGAGGAAGAGGAGGAACAGCCAACAGGGAGGGGAAGTGTGACTCCAGAGGTTGTGGAGGAGGCTGGGGAAGGGCAGAGGCTGGCTGGGCAGTCCAAGGTGGACCCAGGCCCATCCCCTCTCCATCCTCCACATAGGAGAGGATAAGGGAGATACGTGGTCTATGGGGGAAGAGAGGGCCTTGATCCTCTTCATGGGCTGCAGCTGTGACAACTGGATAAGAGGACAGACATGCATACAGGCGAGTGCTGGAAACAAAGCATGGAAATATCTCTAGTTTATGGTTCCTCTCTGAGTTTGGCATCCTTTCCAGTGTGTTCTGTTATCTGTGGACGTCCTCCAGCCCTTATCTTGCCTGTTTTGTGTTGTTTTTTTTACTCTTTATAATTTAAGCGGCATTTCCTCCTTCTTGTAACTGCTCGTGTGGGAGTTTTTTTTGTTTCTAGTCAAGGATATTTGGAGCTTGGAAGCAAAGTGAAGGAATAAAAGGGGTTACACCTATTTTTTGTGACTGTGTTTATTTTGTATCCCACCCTGGGTCATCACAGCCAACTGCTCTGGAAGAAGATGACTTCAGGCCAATAAAGAGTCCCATCATTTTGACAGGTTGTTCGTTCTCGGTTCAAACTAACCCTACCTCTACTAACATTGAACCAGATTTAAGACGATGCATCCAAGTTCTGATCCCAGGACAGTGGGGGCCACATTTGTTTCAAAGAGTCTCATGGTGGCCCTCTCAAAGCTAGAGACCATCCCACAAAATAATTGGACTGAGCCTTTCCATGCTCCCAAAGAGAAAGTCATTCCAGAAGCTTACTGGGAGATTTTGCAGTTTGTGGTAGCCACAAAGCGCCCGGTGTAGTGAATGTTGCACCTTACCACGTTGTTGGTGAAGTCTGATTCCATCACAATATATTTGGGGTTTACCTGAACCTGAGAGGTTGAGAGAAGGTGAAAAAAGAAATCAACCTCTTTGATACAGAAATGGGAAGAAGGGAGAAGTTCCCATACCAACCAACCAACCAACCAACTAACCAAGCCCAACCAACCAGCCAACCCCAACCAACCAGCCAACCAACCCCAACCAACCAGCCAACCCTAACCA